TTCAATAAGAATATAAATTTCATAATCATAATATAATAAGCACTCGTTCTGGAAGTACCAGAGTTTTGTACTGTTCAGGTACACAGTCATATTGGTCATTTCTTTACGACATTACCATTTAGCTCCGTAGAACCCCATTACCATTTGGCACTTCTGGATCATCATACACATGCACTTTATAATACTTATATATATTAAGAAGACTAAAAATTATTCATTACATCATACGTTTTTTAATGAGTATCGGGTAATAAAATTTTGTATCTCTTATGCCTTAAGTTTGTTTAATTAACTTTAACATTCTAAGTAACATGTCATATGTATAAACAATAAATGAAAAGCTAAAGTAATAATAAAGAAATTATAAACCTTAACTTATAGATTTTGAAAGTGCAGTAATACTTAATTAAATTTCATAAACTTAATTTAAATGTAATCACCTACCTTGTTAGAATCGAACAACAATCACTACGCTGCACGATGTTGCTTAACTAAGTGTCGTCTCCTTAATCCACACCTAAGGATAATTACAACTGAACTAAGTATAAATCACATATATTTTCAATAATTAATATAATTAAAATTCTATTTTCGAAATTATCATAAATCTAAATTTTAGGAAACCCTAAATCTTAAATTTCACTCAAATCATTATGCTAAAATTCTCCTAAACCTATTTTAATAATTACCTTAATTATTTTTTAATTTAATTAATTGGAAAATTATGAAAAACGTAAATTCTTACAAAAATTCAAAATTTTGTTTTAAAAACATTCCTAAGACCCTTACAAACCATTTTTGTAAATGCACTTTTAAAGAAATTCAATTTTAGGTAAAAGCCCTAATTTTTTATTTCCAAAAATTTTCAAAGAAAATTTCATTTCTATCGTTAAAATACTTCACTAATCCTTCCCTATAGATTTCTTAAAGAAATTTTGAAAGAAAATGCATTTTTTGTAAAACCCTAATATTTTCATTGCCAAAAATTTTGAGATTGAAATGGATTCGCTTCAAATAAAACATACATTTGCATTCTCCTTATCGTCCACTTCGATTTACACTAATTTTCTCGCCTAAAAATCGTCGCCGGAGCCACCCCGCCAAAGCCATGCCGTCCGCCCGTCTGGCTTCTTCTGCTCGGTTTGGCCGAAATATGCAAAAGGGGGAGAGGGGAGGGTTTCAGTTTGATATATTAGGGAGAAAGGGGATTGCCTAATGACCGTTATAGCCTAACTTAAAAAATTCTGGCATTTTATTTGCTTAGGGGTAGTTTTGGTATTTCTAAACTTCTAAATTTTATAACTCCCAAAATACACAAAATTAATTATAGGTTCTATATATCAAATCGATCAGAATTTTGCATAGAATTTTATAAAATTACTTCCGTCGAAATCTGTTAACTTTAAATTTTCACTTAAGTTTCATTATGATGTATCAAAATGCGTGCGACGGCTACGATCGTCAAATCTCGGGTTTTACATAGGATTCATTCTCAATCGTTCTTTTACCAGTAAGTACGTTCCATATGTCCTTTAACTGATGATTTCGTCTTCAAATGGCATCACATGTAAACGGTTATGATTGGAACTCTCTAAGTAGGTGGTTTTTTAACCAAAATACATCATTAAATTACGGTCATAGTCAGAGCTCGTATGTTCCCCAATGGCGCTAAATTCTCGAGTAATGAATCAATAGGACATGATTGATAGGGTACAAAGCCCTTTATTAGTTAAGGTGGGTTCAAATCTATCATCTTTGACAAATATTCACCCCATGTCTACAAGGTACCCTTGGGCGAATCAACCTATGGCTGTCGACAAGAATCCTTCTATTAAGTTGGGTCGACTACCTCCTCTAACTAAGTAGACTAGGGACTATGGTGACTCAGGACGAAGGAACCATGGGATCTTGATCGGGTTCATCATCATTCCCTCCACCATCCGCTTTAAGTGCAAGGTGGTTAATTTTTAATTTTAAATGCTAAATTCTCATTGCCCAAATCACGCTGCTACTATATGTCATGTACTCTGTATCTATTTGACAACTATCATTAATCGAAAGTTCTCTCTCGCTATCAGGAGGGATAATTAACTATAGGGGCTTGCACCTATAAAAAAACTTGAACTCAAATCATAAAGTTCTCGCAAAATGAGAGTGACATATTTGGGTTATGTATTATCTAAAACTCAATCTGCCTTTTGAAAATTTGCCTCGGAACTTACTCGTTAAACTCTCCTCGACGACTCAAAGAAAGAAAGGGGTGCGAATTTTAGGAGCCCACAATATAGCGGAGCCATTGCGCGAAATTACCCGGTCAGAGGACCTCAATCATAATTGTTCACCATGTGAAATTGTTAGGCCAAATCATTGATTAGAGGACCCTTCATAACCATTTACCACATGGAGTCATTTGATCAAGCCACAAATTCTAGGAGTCGTTAGGCCAAACCATGGGTTAGAGGACATTTAACACATCTTTAGTGGCAAGAAATTATTTAAGAATGAATCTTAGTAATATTCTCGATTGGACATTTGCTCTATATGAGCTGAAGTTATTCTCAAATTTATCTTCTTCATCAAACTATTACGGATGATAAATGAATTTTTGCTTTAAGTTTTTAGATAATTTAATTTCATTTTAAATATTTAAACTTAGATAAATATCAAACTTAGATTTTTTTTTAATCTGAGCTACTAAGTGATTAATCTTGGGATTTGGGGGCATTTAAAAGATAGAGTTCCCTCCAATTGATATTCACCTTCAATATAATCATCATCAGGGTGACATTAAGTCACTTTAAATATATTTTGTATTTTATTGGAATTTCAAGACATTTAAAAGATAGAATCCCCTGTGTTTGATATTCATATTCAACGCCTTCTATCATCGGAGATTTTAAATAATTTAATATTTTGCTTATTTGGACATTGTCAACTCAACCCATTTGTTGGCAAAGGATCAGATTCGATCTAAGTGCATATGACATTTTAATGATAGTATCCTCTTCGATTAATATTCACTTTTCACACGATTATCATCGGGGTGAAATTAAAATCACTTTAAATATTTTTTTATTTTATTAGAGTTTTGGGACATTTATAAGATAGAATGCCTTTCGGTTGATATTCACATTTAACATGTCCATCATCAAGAATTGACCCTGTCAACTCTGTCTGTTTATTAATAGAGGATCGAGCTCGCACATTGGCTCTTATGAACTGTTACACGGGCATTTAAACTCGAGAGTTCCTTTTTGTGATGAATTTTATTCAAAAAAGATTTTGAAAGTCTAATGTGAACAACAACAACAACAATAACAAGTCTTTATCCCACTATTTGGGATCAACAACATGAATCATTTTTCTCCATTGTATCATCTTATGTGTCAAATTCTTATTTAAATCTAATAAAAATGACATTTTTAATACTTTCTAACCTAGTCTTTTTAGACCTATCTCTATATTTCTAATTAGAGCACATGCAGATGGGCTTAAATTTTAATGATTTGAACATAATTTAGAGGAAGTACATATTTTATGGACTCAAGTCTTCTCCTATAAATAGAATACCCTATTCCCTAGTTCATTCCACCATTTAGAGTTGTTTGGTTTCTTGTGTGTGCAGTTTGAACATTCTAAGCATGGTAGGGAAGTTTTTTTAGTGCTCGTAAATAAGCTATTGCGTTCATTACAAGTCCCGTTGCGTGCGAGGTAATGACGACAAGTTCTATGGCGAAAATGAGAAAACACAATTCTCTCTCTCTCTATGTATATATATATATATATATATATATGAGTTTTTTTTGTTAGCGCTTTCTCTTTTTTGTTTTTTTGATAAATTAGAGTGTGGAAGTAAAATAGAGACTTGTAGAGAGTGGGTGACACAGAGAAAGAGAGAGAGATAGGAAGAGAATTGTAGAGAGAGGGTAGAGAGAAAGAGTAAGTGAGGTGTGAGGTGGTAGAGGGAGAGGGAACGGTAGAGGGAAGAGTGGGAAATCTCTCTATTTAGAGAGAGAAATGGAGAGGGAGAAGTGGTAAAGATAGAGTGAGAAAGGTGGAGGGAGAGAAACATTCACTCTACTATTTATAGAGAGAGAGAGTAAGAGAGGGAGAAGACAATAGGTGGCTAGCAGTTGGCAGTTCACTAACAAGGAGTTTGGAGTTTGCCAGTGGAGCGATTCGGCAATGGGCTGGGAAAGGAAAGGAAGCTGGGCTAAGGTTGCATGGGGTCGATCAGCTGAGAGTGTTCAGAGGAAGAGGGAGGCAGAAGGAAGTTGTATTCAGAGGTGTGACGATAGCATAGATGTGAGGAGGAGGCTACTGCTGGTGGAGTAGTAGGCGATGACTTGGAAATGAAGATGGGGTTGCAAATAATGGAGTGTTGTCGAACTTGGGAGGTGAGGAGAGGGGTTGAGCCGTATGGGGCTATATAGTTCTTTGACGATGTCAAGAAGAGAGTGAGAGATGGGTTAGGTAAGATGTTGGTTTCGAAGATGGAACTATTCACGTTGCTGATACAATAAACAGGTAGCAACAGCATGGTCGAAGAAGATTAGCAACATAGCAAACTAGAACAATAGCACAGTGACGAAACTTAGTAGAAAAAGCGAAAACAATGAGGAATAATTAGTAATTCATATCATGGGAATGACTCTAAACTCCATTATTAATTAGAATTTCAAGGTTGAAGTTGAAATCATGCAATAATGAGTTGGGCCTAAATATCAGTCGAAACACTTGGGAACACATCCAGCTTGTTTGGGAGCCAACATCCCATGCATGTTCTTACATTTGAAATGTACTTGAAAACAAAAATTTAGAATTAATATGCATGAATTGCATTCCCAATGAACATATAATTTCATATTTGCATCATATGATCTTCTATCTGACTTTGTTTTCTGATTCATTGCTTAGAAAGACGAAGACTGTTAGTTCAACTTGTTCTTTTATATTGGTATGCCTACAGTTTCTGAAGACCCTTGTTTGCGTTTATACAGGCTAAAATTGCCGGGAAAGCAATGCCTTCTATCGCCTCTTTAGACTTTGATGACTATGTACCAATGGTTGACAAGGCTGTGGATGCCGAATGGAAGAACAGAATATCTGAAGCTTCCTCAACAGGTTTGAAAATTTCAATTGATCTGCATAAATGAATCTTTATTCAACCCAGATGCTGCATTCTATCTTCCTAAAAATTGTGCACGCAAATAATGGAAGAACATCCTTTTTTCCTCTTCATGCACTAAAATATTTTAATTTTTCTCCAAGAAGTTGCACGCATGAAACATTCATTGAATTGAAAATGGTTGTTCATGCTTATCTTCACGAAAATCAAATTACTTCCCAGGCTCTATCATTACCACTTCTGTTGTCCCCTATATCTTTAAGGTTTCCTTTGGAACGGCTTTCTTACTGCTTCTTAAAGCAGCTTTTTAGTAAAAAATGAAATTAAAATTTTTTACTATAAAGTTGCTTTAAGAAGCAATAAGAAAGTCATCCCAAACGAAAACTAAGTATTTTGCTTACATAGTTTGAGCTTTACTTTTTTTTGGATTTTAAATAGCTGCCATATTCTCATTGCATATGTTATGTTGTATATGGATGATTTTTGGCGGAACTTGTCATTACTACTACAGCAGACTGCCTTCCTCCCTCGGATGATACCCCAAAGCTTCACCGTGTTAGAGCTCAAATCGCAATGATGGTGGCTTTCATCTTGATGGTCTTTAACATGGTTCTTTCAGTCACCAGAAATTTGACTAAGAAACTTCCAGATAGTACTTTAAAAGCAGGCCACCTCAGTCGCTTTTCTGCATTAGATCCTGCACAAAAAGGAGATCATCATCGTTCACGAACTTCTGGGTTCACAGAAGTAGAGCTGTTTTCTTCTGTTTTGGGAAGGCTTGGGGAACTCGAAGAAAAGATCAATATACTTCAGGCTAAACCATCTGAGATGCCTTATGAGAAAGAAGAATTGCTCACTGCTGCTATCTGCCGTGTGGATGCATTAGAAGCTGAGCTTATTGCCACCAAAAAGGTATATCTTATACTTTTCTCTTCTATGTTTTAAGCAATTCTTGTTAAATTTTCCATAGAGAAAAAACAAACCTTCACACTTGCTGGGCGCTTTTCCTTGTTTGCTAAGCAAGTTATTTACTGTTAAAGTGATAATCAATATGTTCCCTAATAAGGAAAACAACATTGTTAGACTAGGTAGAATGTATGAGATTAGGCTAAGCAAAGAACCATAACTTAAGGAAATTGAGAGAATTATATTAAAAAAAGTTCATCTCCTAGCATGTCTTCTAAATAATGAATTTAGACAAAACTTTAGCTTGATTTCATTGTTATTTATTAAGCATGTGTATCCTAAATAACACCATTATGCCTTCAATAGTTCTCAATGAAGTCATATATACCTATAATAATTACCCAAATCTTCAATTTTGGTACCCAAACATATTTTGGTCCCCTAGCATTCATTTCATAAGCATGTAAATGTGGGCTCCGAAAATTCGGCCCCAGCCTCTGCCCGCGTATTGCTTTTTCTTCGGCGAGGGGAGTTTTAAAGGAATAAGTGTCGGGGTAAATTTTGGAAGGCAGATGGGTTTGTAGATAAGACACTAACCAGAGATTTCACCCTCATTTTGCGAGGACTTTATGATCTAAGTTCTGGTTTACTATAGGTGCAAGGCCCTATAGTTAATTACCCCTCCCGATCACAAGAGAGAACTTTCGATTAAGGCTAGTCGTCAATCAAATACGTAGAGATACGTGTTATCCGACATATAGTAGCAGCATGAGTTTGAATTTGGGAATTTGGACGTCATGAGGGGTCATTTTTATTTAAAGCTTGAATCTTATCGACCCTATCAACTTGCTGATAGGGGATCGGGTTTCATAGGTTTTATGTCTTTGTTAGTGAATTATCTTGATTCTAGGCCTTGAAAGCCTAATATGAATGTATTAAATAAATATGCTGGTCGCCACAACCGTATATTTATTTGATGGTTCGAACCCTGTCGACTCCTATTGATCCGTATAGAAGGATAGGATTCGAACTTGAACTCACATATTTACCCGCGCAACATCCCTAGACGTCCCCCACAGCATGCTCGTCGGGGCCCATGCGGGTGTTTGGGGGCATTTTACAGTTGTTTGTTGAACCTTGTCAACTCTTATTACTTAGGAGGATCGGGTTCGAATTTATTGACCCTCGCAGCATCCCTAGAATTCACGTGTGTACCAATAACACGCTCACTGGGGCCCATGCTGGTGCTTGATTGCATACCCCTTTTAGTGTACCTATGTGTATACAAACTATAGTGCATGTGCGGGGGGGTGCTTTGAAATATTTGGCTGATCTTTCGCAGTTGCATGTAGAAACTCGTGCTTGGTCCGTAGTCCTTATGTATTTTGCTTGTGGGATACACATTGAATACATGGTAGGGCAGCTTATAGGAGCACTGTTGATATACCACCCTTGCCTTTAGATGATATCTCATATGCATATCTATGCTCGCAGATAATTTATTACTTATGCAACATGTCTGCTATCACTGATTGAAAGGGTTTTTTGTATCTTCTCACAAGATCTGTGCAAATAATACACATTAACTGTTGGCAGGTTATGCTTCATATAGTTGCTTCTAGTATTTCTTGAATTGTGGACGATGCATCATATATATCATAATCCTGTTATATGATTTTATCGCTAACTGTTGCATTTGATGAAGGCTCCTTTATTTGTGTTTTGATGTTGACCACAAAGAGTTGCTACATTTATTGTATCTCTGTCTTATGTTGTACAAGATAAATGTATTCATAGGCTTCATTGTCTACGAGGTCTGATATATTTGCTTGTATGCTAATGGGTCTTCTACAACAGTTTATAAGAGATTGATATATTTGATGGCATGATTGACACAAATGTTGCAATCAATCAATTATGGTTCTTCCATGGTTTGTAATGTCTGTTTCTTTCAACTTATCATCACAATGCGTGCCATCACTAATCAACATTGAAGTTCCATTTAGCATAAGCCTCATTGCTTGTAAGGCTCAATAAGTTTAACTGCATTTGGATCTTACAAATAGGCATGATTGTTTGCATGTAGATTGATTTGCTTGAACGATTTGAGATAATTCCACCTCATCATTCCTTGCTTATATATCTCTTGAAGACTTAGTCTTCATTCACTTGCTTATCTTTGATTTCATCATTTTATGATTTATGACTTTCACTTCCAAACATTAGACTTTAGTTTCGGTTAAGATTTAGATTATTAATTCAAAGTCCGGTCCAACTTGAGCTTAAGACCAAGTCCAAAATGAGTCTTCTTCATTGTCATCTGAAGTGCAAGTCCTCTATTATTCAAAAGTTTGCAAGTTCTCCCTCACTTGATTCAAGTTTAAGTTCATGAATCTCTTATGCAGCTCATTTGAGTTCAAGCTCTTTGTTCTATTGTTCAAGTCCAAATCAAAGTCCCCTGCGGTCCTTTGAATTCAAATCATGTCCTTACTTATTTTATAAGTTCAAGTCATGTCCACTTGATGTATAAATCAAGTTCAAATATGAGTCCAAATCAATTTTAAGTTCACTTGAGTTCAATTCATGTCCAAAGTACAAGTTTCAGTTCAAGCAATCTTTATGTTTGAGTTCACTTAAGTCATTTAAAGTTTATATTCACTTAAATCAATTGCATCAAGTCCAGAAGTCCCAAATTGTTCCAAGTTCTTGTCTTATTTCAGACAAAATTTCGGCAGCCTTCCGGCTTCTCCCCCATTTAGGGAAAAAACCAAGAGGCCACCTACCCGCCGCGTCAAGAAAGACGTGCATGGCTGGTGTTTGTGAGACACCGCGGCGGTGATTTTTTTTTTTTTTTGCTTGTCATCCACCACGACAATAAAGGCGTGAATGGGTTTTTTTAAAAGTATATTTTTTTGAAAAATTAGTTTTTTAATTGCCCTCGCCGTGCTAAGAAAAGCGCGCACATGGATTGCCCACCTCGCCTTAGGCTTTGCACCGAGTTTCCTCCCGCCACGCTAAGAAAAGCGTGTACAGGGGGTCCCTCGGCGCACTGCAAACGCCGAAAATAGGACTTTTGGAGGGGATTACCCGTCTCGCCACAAGCACCGAAGCGAACTTCCTCCCACCGTGCTAAGAAAAGCGCGCATTGGTGGTTATTCGCCCCATCGCAAGTGCCGAGGGCGGGTTCTCTCAAGTTTAGGAGGTTTATACCTTGGCGGATGTCAAGAGGGATGGCACGCACATCGAGGCATAAAAGAGGGCTTCATTTTTTTAAACAATAATACATACACACATTCATATATAACATATAGTAGAATTAGTATTATTATTATTATTATTATTATTAATATCATTAATAATAATAACAATATTAATATTATTACAAATGATAATTTTATCATTAATAAGAATATTAATAACATTATGATTATTAACAATAATATTAATATTAATAAATAACTAATGTTAATATTAACTAAAATAATAATAAGTATAACAATACTTATAATAATAATAGTAATGTATCATAATAATTAGTATTAACAGTAATATAAAACAATAAATAAACTCTTATTATACCCTTTCTGTGACTATGAGGGAGATCAGTTCAATCTTGAGGTCGGCTGCGTGAATCGGAGCAAGAGGAAGTAGGGATCAGGCTAAGGCTTTTGGCTGGAGGATTCGGTTAGGTCTGCTACAGTGACCTGCGCTTTACTGTAGACAAAGAGGATCCGAACGGATCCTCTCTGTTCGGTGACCTGATGCAATAATTTGCCCCGACGAGGGCAATAAACCCCTCTGTTCGATCGGGGAACATAATAATGCTTTAACCTTACAATAAGTTGGTGTGCAATGAAATGGAACATAATAATGCTTTAACATATACAGAAGTTAATTAAAGACATAAAATTTTCATTCTAATTTTTTTCAACTTACAATAAGTTTATAGTCTTGTAAACTAAATAATATAAATAATAATAAAACAAACTCAAAGCAACAACATAGTTACACAATATTGCTAAATCAACAAAATTAAATTAAGTTAAACCAAAATTGATCAAACATAATTAAAATATGAGGAAGAAAATGCATGAAAATTGTAGGAAGGAAAAAACATAAAGAATGTATAGAGGAAAGTCCATCAAAGGGTAAAATTGCATGTTCTATGTTCATAGTGCAAATATCACACCTCATTTTTCTTTCGTACATTTTGCTTTATATATAACATAGAAAGTGCACTACACTACGTTTTAGGCTATTGCGTGCATGATTTTGTATTATTGACAGGTGTGATTTGGTGTGCAATGAACACTTAGAATATGGGCTCCGAAAATTCAGCCCCGACCTTCTCCCGCTATTGCTTTTTCTTCGGCAAGGGAGTTTTAACGGATTAAGTTCCAGTGTAAATTTTGGAAGGCATATGGGTTTGTAGATAAGACACTACTCAGATATTTCTCCCTCATTTTGCGAGAACTTTATGATCTGAGTTCTGGTTTCCTATAGGTGTAAACCCCTATAGTTAATTACCCCTTTCGATAATGAGAGAGAACTTTCAATAAAGGCTAGTTGTCAATCAAATATGTTTAAAGTACGTGGTTTCTGACATGTAGTAGCAGCATTGGGTTTGGATTTGAGAATTAGGTTTGAAGGTTTTATATTTAAAATTAGAAATCTCACCATCGTGCACTTAAAGTGGATGGTGGAGGAATGGATGATGGACCCGATCAAGATCCCATTGTTCCGTCATCCCGGGCCATCATGGTCCCTTGTCTTCTTAGTCAGAGGAGGTAGTCGACCCAACCTGACAGAAGGATCCTTGTCGGTAGCCATGGGTTGCTTCGTCCAAGGGAACCTTGTAAACCTGGGATGAATGCTTGTCTAATGGGACAAATTTGAATCCACCTTAGCTAATAGAGGGCTTTGTGCCCTATCGATCATATCCTATTAATTCATATCTCAAGGATTTGATGCCACTAAGGAACGTACTAGCTCTGGCCATAACTGGT